GTTGAGGCCGGATAGGGCTTCATCGATGCAGAAACCGAACTCACTTCTGCTTGTGTTGTACATATGCTTCATCGAGGTCCGCACTAGCCGAGAGCAAAGCAGAGGTAGCGAACGCGATGGCTAGATACATCTAAGCTGCGGTTAATCAACAAGAATTGGGGTTTCTGGAGCAGATGTTAAATCTCTCGATTCTTCAATCCATTGCGGTCAAGTGGGATGCGGCGCAAATGGACTTGTGCGAGAAACTCATGAGGACCTTACCGTGAGATTCCCACGTTTTCAACTCCCCATCGAGTTTCATTCGCATTCTAGTATTTTCTGATGCACTAACTAGACTCTTAACAGGTGTGACTACAGTAATACTTGCAGCGAGTCCCACAGTATTCTTAGCGGGTGTTGATACAGAATCCTTCTTTAAGATTGAGAAATTTTCCCAGATCTGAAAAGACATACCTCTTGTGCGCAGTCTGCTCAGGCGTGGGAGTCCCACGGTGGGACCTTCAATCGTTATAAAATACTTTATGCGAGTCACTCGGCGAGCCCTGCTCTAGTGGGCAGCCCACTAATAATTCCCAAAGGCAAGACCCGAAAGACAAAGCGTCTAATGGATCCCACCTGGTGGGCCACCTCTACTGCTCACCTCGTGCAGAGGAAAGAGACTGTTCGCGCCACACCTCTTCATGTCACATGAATCATTTGTTTGACTACATTTTCAGGGCTGCAACGTGTACATGTGTACACCGTGCTTGAATATATCTACTTGTACAGTGTACGACTATATTTAACATATTGGGCGTGAAGTACCGCGAGCGATATGGTTGCGCACCATCGGTAGGGCCTCCCAAACGGGGCCCCCATACACGCTTGAGAAATAGCACGCAAAAATGTAAGTGTATTTCTTGGGTGCCATCCTCTCAAACACCTCAACGAATAGTTTATACCTCGGGAGGAAGGACCTCGTGGATGGGCCCTTCAGTTTTTACTCTGAGCGAATTTTGGAAGTGAACAACTTTTCTCGAAATGTGTGTCTCCGCAGCTAACAACGAGGCGGGATATACCAAAATTGATTGGTGGAAACTAACTGGACAACGCACTCCCCCCAGCACATCCCCTTTCCAGTGCGAGTCGACGGTTGATGGCAGTCCTGTCGGCCGGCCGGCGTGCCATTATGGCCCAGCCGTAAGCAGCACTGCGAAGCATTCCACTGTGGAATTTCCACACGCTGGGAACCCGCGAATGCCGTACTAGGATACCACGAATCTTTTGACCTACTATTCTCAGAGGTTGTTCGTTTTGATTATGTCTACATTGTAGACTCTATAAACGACCACAATGTCATCTCCGACAACGAATACCATGAACCATGGCCTCGTACTCGCGTGATTTAGTTTGCCTGCAGTTGTTAGTTATGGCCGTAATTTACGTCCATATCCAACAACTGCACCTCGATGATTGATATCTAATAGGTATTGTTTATCGATGTGGTTTCTGTTCA